CCCTGCCACTGTTCGACATTTAATCAATATTATATCATCTATTATTGATAATGTGAATTATGGTCAACCAGTTGTTATTACTGCAGATCAACCAGTATTTGCGATTGCTAAGCAACTTCAGTGGAAATACCCTGATCTTTATGGTGAGGATAAAATGATTATAATGATGGGGGGACTTCACATTGAGATGGCTATTGAAAATATGATTGGAAAGTGGTTATCTGGAAGCGGTTGGACCGAATTATTTTTCAAGACTGAAATCGCAAGTTCTGGACGTAGTGAAACGTTGCTTAAGTCTTCACATGTTAAAAGAACTAGATACGCTCATGAAGTTAGTATTGCAGCACTTTACATTCTAAGAAACAACGCATATAGAGATAACCAAAAAACGGCAGTGGAGTCTCTGGAAACATGGGTGGCTCGAAGATGCAAAGAATCTGCTCAGTTTTTATTTTGGCAGACGACCATAATTTTGGAGGGCATATTACTTAACTTTGTTCGTAGCATACGTACTTCTGATTTCTGTTTATTTGTCCAAATGCTCGAAGAGCTTTGTCCTTGGTTGTTTGCTTTAGATCTTATTCATTATTCACGATGGCTTCCTGTTTTCATAAAAGGGCTCAAAGAACTACCAGTGCGACACCCGCAAGTTTATGAAGCATTCCAGAAAGGTCATTTCACAAGTAGAAAAACTAATGCTGATTTCTCCGCAATTTCCGATGATCAATTGCATGAACAAAATAACAAACTAATAAAAGGATGTAGTGGAGCTATCAACAATTTGCATAATAATGATGCTCTTCTTAAATGGATGGTGGCCGGTCCGGAAATCTCACGAATGATACATGATTATGACCAGATTCCAGTGCACAATTTGTCTAATAAAGTTCCAAATCGGTGTCATCATGAATGTTCAGCAAGCTTTCAATCTCGATATATTAGTCATGTTTCAAAAATGGTTAAATATATGCAGGAAGACGGCAATCCATTTTCTGAACAACTTTTGCAAACTATCGACAACCAAAAAATTTTAATGTCTCAATCTGCAGAGAACTCCGTTAGACAAGCGGAACAAAAAGGAATCAAGCAATATGAAAATTTTGTAAAAGAACGTTTAATTTTCGGTCAAAAATCTTTTTATGATTCATTGTCTAAAAACAATTTGGAACTATTTCATGGCCCTAAAAAGACATGTAA